GTAAGGCACTTGTTGTTGGAAGCGATGCACTTGTTACTGGTAGCTTCTTGTTTGTGAAACACTTCGTGCCGTTCGCCGTGCGGTGTTTCGTGAGGTCTGCACTGCCGCATTGGAACGGAGCGATCGGGACGCTGCGAACGGAGCGATTGGAACGGCATCGCTAAGTCGGTTGAATGTCGCCGTGGAGTTCCTCTTGAAGCGCTTGCCTCGGCTTGCCTCGGCTTGCCTCGGCTTGCCTCGGCTCGCCTCCTCTTTGGTGAATTTTAAGGAGTCCCACGAGAGTGTCCCACAAGTGCGTCCACAAGAGTGCTGAGTGCTGCTAGAGGTGTGGCACAAAAGTGTCAAGCAAAAGTGTCGCACACGCGTGTCCCCAGAATGTCCTTGAACAGTGTGTGTTGAAGTGGTGGCCATCGCCATTAGGTGGAGGCCATCGCAAGTAGGTTGGTTCCCGAGTAGGTTGGAGGCCATCGCAAGTAATTAGGTTGGAGGCCATTGCTATTAGGTGGAGTGTCACGCAAAAGTGTCAAACAACGATTTGCCGTTTGTGGTTGCATACGTGTGCGCATTGGTGCTCGTGTTCTCCATTTCGTTTCTCTCTAACACCTGCCAAGGTGCGCAACTTGCCAAAAGCCCAGGCAAAGTTAGAAATCTGGGCCAAGAAAGTTTGAACGCACTGATCTTAAACACCGTCCAAGCTGGTCTTGGTCTTCTCGTCCAAAAACGTTTCTCACCTCACGAGGTGAACTGCTCCTCCTGAGTGACTTCTCCGCATCTTCAGCCAGCGTGGAGATTGTAACTTTATCCTGGAAACTCGCAGCGTATAAACAATGACAACCGCTTATACTGCGACAGCCAGGCATCCTTGCACCTCTGCCGTCCCAACCTTGCATGCGGATTAGAGCTCCGGGTTCCTCTACAATCATGCTTGCGATGTTACATTTACCTGCAGTTGAGCATGGCCACTGCAGTTGTGAAGGCCAACCGCAGTTAAAGTCAAAAGCACGATAACTTCTACAGCACTAATTAGTGGAGGCCATCACTCTTTGGTTGGAGGCCATCGCTATGCTAGAAACAAAGGTCTAGCGGCTAGCACTTGCCAACTCAGTGGTTTGACTTCAGAATGGCTTGAGTAGTAACAAGTGCATCGCTACTAGTAACAAGTGCCTTACTAGTAGTAACAATAAGCTATTAGTAACAAGTGCCACGCTAGTAGTAACAGGTGCCTTACTAGTAGTAACAAGAAGCTACTAGGAACAAGTGCATCGCTACTAGCTGCGGGGCTTGAAAATACAGTAACTAGCAGGCCCTACAGGCTGTGGAACTCATCCGCGCAAACAGGCAAAGGAACCGCGGGCGCTGACAGACCAATTGTCGAATCGTAGATGAAAAAGCCCCTAGTAGCGTCCTTTTGCTCCTAGTAGCGATGCCAGGAGCCCCTAGTAGCGACCTGTTCCTTCTTGGCGATGTCGTCCGGAAGAAATGGTGTCCAACCCAAGGGGGAGCTGAACATGTATCCCCCAAACAGACCACTGGCAGCAAACGACACTCTTCTGACCGCTCGCGGAAAAGGAACGACTTCGGGCAAGCTTGACAAGTTGAAAAACTATGCGTAATGAAAGCTGCTGAAAATTTTGGATAGGAGACACGTTGGAGGCCATCGCAATTAGGTTTTAGCAATGCTGCTCGAAAGAAGAAACCGTCTTGCCCTCAGAGAAAACGCTTCGGCCATGTGCGATATCCTGATGTTGTGAGACCGTCAACCTTGTGAGGACCATGTTGGCTAAGCCCTCCTGCCAAGCGTCCGTTATAAGTTAGAACCCTAATCTTCTCGAACAGCGTTGCTAAAACCTACTAGCGATGGCCTCCAACCATCCTCCCGCTGGAAACGTTCGTGTTCGGCAGTTCTGCTGAAAGACTCGTTCAGGCTACTTCACCGCAGTTTCTCTGTCTGCAACCTAGCATAGAACAGACTCCACGCGGGAGCCAAAACGTTGGAGTCAGGAGCCTTGTCTGGAGCCCTCAAAGATAGCATGGCGGAGTTATCTACCAAACGTTGCAATTGTCCATCGGCAACCAGGGTCTGGCGATCCCTGCATGGCCACCATAACCGCATCACCGCCTGAGCCCTCCAACTTGCACTAACAAATGCATTGCTACTAGTAACAAGGGCATTACTACTAGTTACTAGTAGCAAGAAGCTTACGAGTAGCTATTTGCTGCTAGTAGTAGTGCCCTTGTTACTGGTAGCGATGCACTTTGCTACTAGTAGCGTCCTTGCTACTAGTAGCGATGCACTTGTAAATGGGTAGTAAATGGGTCGCGTCTGCCCCGCAAGATCCTGTTGGGCTGGGCCTCAAACCTTGTCACAATGCCGCCCTGCGAACATTGCTACCAGGCCCTACCAGAATGAAACTGTTGGGGGCACGGCATTGGCATTACAAACTATGTTGTGCGCTTACTTGCCTCCCAGTGGAGGAAATATTCGTTCTGCGTCGACTTGAGGACTTCGCTACTTAGCAGCCTACCGGGCCTACCCCCCGCAACCGCAAATGACTGAGCCTCATTCAACAACTCTCAGACGCGAACGACCAGACCATGTTGGCCAAGCCCTCCTGCCCGTCATGGGTTTTTTCCGAGCGTGTGGTTCACCTTCCCACCGCTAAACCGTAACAGCTAGTAGCGTCCTTTTGCTCCTAAGGCCAGGAGCCCCATTCGTAGCGTCCTTGTTACTAGTAAGGCACTTGTTACTAGAAGCGATGCACTTGCTCCTAATAGCTTCTTGATACTAGTAGTAAGGCCAGGAGCCGTAGCTTCTTGTTCCTCACTTATTCAATCTTATTCGTTCCTGCTTCATTCCGAATGATGACAAACCGTCAGAAGTCTCTTGGAAGACTCAACTAGTTTTGTTTCGGCAAGGAATCCGTTCAAAGCAGGCTGGCAGGTTCATTCTGCTAAGCTGCTAAGCACCCAGAACACCAGGTCAATAGCAAATGTGTTGCCCTGAGCATCTGACATTCTACAGCTTGGACTTGGCCCAGCAGGTCACTCCAGCCTGAGGAACCAGAGCAGTTCCGAACGTGTTTTGAGAAAGCGCCAAGAACAAGAATCGGATCTGAAGCTCTAACGGTCATGCTGATCAGCCATCGCGCATCTGATTCTCGGCATCTGCCTTAAGGTGTTGGCAAAAAGGAAATGCGGCAACCTAATAGCGAAGGAACCTCTTCGCGATGGCCTCCAACCTAGAAGCGACATGCAGCACCCTATCTTCATGGTTTCTCGCTGAAGCCTTGGACAAAGAACGCTCTACAGCAGCAAGAAGCTACTAGGAACAAGTGCATCGCTTCTAGTAACAAGTGCCTTACTAGTAGTAACAAGGACGCTACTAGGGGCTCCTGGCCGTACTACTAGGAGCAAGAATTCTGCCCCGACCTGAACCAGTCAGGTTCTAGCTCACCTGACCTTAGCTCCCTTAACGTGGAGTTTTTGGGAGGTCGTCCTGTCTTTCGCTTGCACGGCTCCAAGCTGCGTCCAAAATGGCCATCAAAGCCAGCTGGGTGTCGCAAATGAGCTTGAGAGGGCCTGCACCAAGCACAAGCGTCTGTGCCAGGGGCTGCTTTCTTGCACTTGCCTCTTACGAACAAGTGTCTTTGCTGGAAGCCTAGTTTTGCCCGGCATGGCTGGAACTATGAACTCCATCCTGCCAAAGTGTTTTGCTATATTATGGTGGTTGATCAAAAATCTTTCTTACGAACACGCCATCGCTAGGACGTTGGAGGCCATCGCTATCCTTGAAGCCTCATGTTTCCACATATCTATCTTTTGCAGATCTTTCACGAAACAAATCGTTACTTTTGCGAACTGAAAAGTTTTGGGAACAACATACAAGGCTCTCAACGAAAGTAGGCCTTATGTCGGCCACATGTCAACCTTTTGATCAACTACCATATGCTTTTCAGGAGCATGGGGCCAAATCCACAAAAGCATCTGCACGGAATTCGTAGTGATGAGTCTTCTTCTTGCTTTGAAGAGGTATCTCCAATGATGCCAACTTGAGCTAATCAACATCAGCTGGCAGTCAGCATCAAAATCGCATGGGTCTCCATCATTCATTTACATGTATTCAAATCATTTCAAACCATTCAACATTCTCAAACTGCCTTGTGCTGGTCACGGAGAGCACTGATCCCAACATTGAGGCCAACTGATCATCTTTTCAAACCAACTGCTTGCTCGCTCGTGGGGCTTGAGCTACGGGTTAGCTTGCTTTACGTCTCTCATTTTTTCAGAGAGCTCCCAATCTCGACCTGGGAGGTCATTACTAGTGACAAGAAGCTACTAGTAGCTAGAAGCTACTAGCGGCTCCTGGCATCGCTACTAGGAGCAAGGACGCTACTAGGGGCTCCTGGCCATACTACTAGTAGCAAGAAGCTACTACGTATTTTGTAGCTATAGAGACGTTTTTTTAAACATCGGCACAAGATTCGGTTCCCTGGGTTCGCGCGTAGCCGTGACAGGATTGCATGCTCAGAGCCTCCAGCATGCATTCTGGCACTCTAGGGCATGTCCATTCTTTTGTCCCTAGTAGCGTCCTTGTTACTAGTAGTAAGGCCAGGAGCCCCTAGTAGCTTCTTGTTCTAGTAGTAGGGCCAGGAGCCCCTAGTAGCATCCATTCTTATCATTCTTTTGCTGTCTTCTTTCATCTTTGAACATGCGTTCGTTCGTGTGATCTCAAATTCTGCTGTCCTACCAGAGTCCTCAGCTGATGGCTCTCTCGAGGTTTCTTGCGCCAGCCATATGCCTGGCCGACTGAGACTGGAGAATGCACACTCTTGTTTCGGGTGAGGCAGGATGGAGGATTGAAAGTCATTCTCAGGTCAGAACACATCGTCGGACCCTTATTCGAGCCGACCTGGGGGCAACAAAACGCGACAACAAAAGCTACTAGGGGCTCCTGGCATCGCTACTAGGAGAAAGGACGCTACTAGGGGCTCCTGGCCTTACTACTAGTAACAAGAAGCTACAAGGAACAATAAGCCTGTACCAAAGTCACGGCCTTTCGAGCGTCGCTTCATCCACGAGGATCTCCAAGCCTAGAGTGCCAAACCAAACTTCCTTTCTTGGAGTTTTAAGGTCTAAAGGTCTAACTATATAACTAATTCTATTCTACTTGAATTCTAATCAGCAGTTTATGGAAGGGGCGCTGAAATGATCGGCCTCCTTCGAGCAAACCGTCAAAGCCCTGCCCTGGCCTTGCAAAGACTCACATTTCGGCGCACAGTGAGAAAGTACGTAGAACAAATATAACTCAAATCCATCTTCAACAAAGGTCAACCTCAAATCATGAACCATTCCCTTTCCAAGTACCCTCTCTGGCTCAGGTAGGACGTCCAGCCTTCTGCTTCCAGTGGGTAGGAACCTTCGCACAAACCGGCCCAAAGTGGCTGAGAAAACACAAACCGATCCAACTGGTGTTTTTTCTGAGGAAGGAACTTGATACAGGCACCACCAGGGGAATTCCGCGCCTGTGCAATGCCCGAGAGTTGTGGAACTGCCAACGCTACCAACGCACCGGTGTCAACTAATCATGCAAATAGCTAAGCAAACCGAAGCAAAAGTAGTTTGCCCGTGGGAATGTGGGCGAGATTCAATGAGCATAGCCTCAAAGGCAAAGGTGTTTCGACGAGACGCCTCCCAAATCTAATCACCCAATACAGCAGCTACTTGACCAACAAATGTGCGTGGGTGAGCCCGCTCGAGAACAACTGGTGAATTGCGTGAAATCTGTGATGATTCTGCATGATTTGCAGGATTGCACTGGCTTGTCATGGCGCGGGGGCTGTTGACACCGTGGTGAACCTGAGGTATGCTTCTTGAACAATTTCTTGCGTTGACTCGCGGCGATTCTCAGGGGTAGTGGCTTTTGTGTGACAGCTTGACAAGGACAGGCCCTCTCCAGCGCGAAGGCAAAATCCCCGTTGAGTCCGAGAAACAAGTTGCACATATAGTTAAACATTTACAAATAAACACACGCACGCGTATAGGTACACAAATATATGTATATACATACACATACACACAATGTAAATTTTACACGTACTTATGATGTATGTTTCTTCCGGATGGCCTCCACTGGCGTCTTCAAGCCAGCTCTCCGCATGGCAGAGCCATTCTGATTTGCTCCGCGGCAGTAATTGAACCTGGGTATTGCTCAACCATGCTCAACCCAATGGCTGCCCTACTCTTTGTCAACACTTCTTGCACCGTGGGAATTACTACGACGACGACGACTATTACTACTATTGCTACTGCTACTACTACTGCCCTGTAGTGGTGGTGCTGGTAGTGGTACCAATGGTGGTGATGGTAGCGCGCTAGCAGCAGCAATAGTACTTCATCACAGTAGCGGCAATCATTGTCGTCGTAGCAATAGCAGCACTAGTGGTGGCATGCGGCAGTGTTGTAGTATTAATCTTCTTTCTGTGCGCTAGAAACACTAGAAGAAGCAGTGGTGTCGTCATAGTGGGAAATGTAGCAGTGCTAGTAGTAGTGGTGGTAGTAGAACCAGTAGTGATGGTGGTCGTAGCACTACTACTAGCACGATTACCAATACCGCTACTACAACCACCACTGCTGCTGCTGCTACTACTACTACTACTGCTACGGCCCCCGACAATCAAACCACTACTACTGCTACTCGTACTCCTTCATACCCATATCCCTCCTAGTGCCACAGCCACGACGACTACTACCGCTACTACTGCTACTACTGCTACTACTGCTGCTGCTACTACTACTACTACCACGACTACGACTACGACTACGACTGCTACGACAACTGATTGTGCCACGGCGAGGCCTGCTACGACTGCGACCTTCTACCAACACTACGACTACGACTACGACTACGGCGCACGGCTGCTACTACTTGTGCCACCGGCGGCAGCTGAGAACATTCAAGCATGCAGTATATATATATACTTATATATAACTTATATATATATACATAGAGTATTGCGAAGAACGGGGACCAACAGAAC